GGCGGCCGCGCCCGCGCCCGGCGCTTTCGGGTTCGACCCGCTCATCGCTCCGGCGCCAAGATGGCCGCCGCCTCCGCAGCGCCGTAACTATGGAGAGGGGGGCGTGGCCGCGGCACCTGGGGGCGGGGCCGAGGCCCTGGGCGGGGGCGGGGCCGGAGGGCCCGCCCTTCCCCAGGCCTGTTCCTGCCAGGTGGTGGGCCCTGGGCGTGTCTGGGAATTGAGTACCCTCATACTCTATTGGGACCCCAAAGGCACCCCAAATGTTTTTTAAGACACCTCGTTCGGTCAAATGACTGTCATATAAACTGTGGACCAGGCGGAAATATGGAGAACAGGGTTTTAATCTGTGCCACGCAATGTAAAGTGCTTGCTGTGCTAAAGCAGCTTTCCAATTACACTCATTCCTAAACCCTTTGTGCTGGACACGGGGCTGGGCTCCAGGAAACATAAAATGAATGAGGCGAGGGGTTTGCGTCGGCCTCACTCACCACTGTTCTGGGTAGTCTAGCCACAGACCCACACACGCGTAGGTCCCCTGCTCGTGATGAGTGGTTGGATGCATGAGTGAATGAGGGAAGGGAAGCCTGGACGGTGCCCTGCTCTGGAGGAGCTCCTGGTTTGTTGGGAAGACTGTGAAGTACGTCATTCATTATGTGGCCCTTCCTCCTGACCAGCCCAACTAGTGTGAATGAACCAGAGGACACCCAGAGTGCTGGCTGCTGGAGGGGCACATACAGCAACGGTGCTACCCGAGTACACAGGCGTGGTCTGGGGGTCAGGGAGAGTTCACGGGTGACTTCTACAGGAACCTTGATTAACCGTGATTCCACCAATTGGAGCAGATGGGTAGGGATGAGGGGAAGGCTGCCTTTCTATACCCCAGTGGCTCCTCCTCTAGGGATGCTGGATCGACTTCTGTGTTGGAGGCCTGGGCCTGACTGATGCAGCGTGTCAGCTAGGTCCGATTTCACCTCTCAGGCAGGCAGGGTGAAACTCTCCCCTCTCCCCATGGTCAGCCTCAAGACTTGCCCGGTCCCTCACCTGATGGGAGGGGCACGGGAGGGTTTGACAGGCCTAGCCTAGTTCTTGGACAAAATCCAAACCTGACTCCGCCCTGGTTGCCCAGGCTGGCAGGACAGTATGTGGCCAAGTTCCTATCTAAATGCTGTCCTGTCTTTGGGAGATTACCACTGGGTGGCACTTACCAAACCATCAGGGAAATTTTAATAGATGTGTACAAAGAATTAAAGTCTTTCCCTTCGCAAACAACTCTTTTTAAACCACCCAGCAGTGAGTGGTTACTGAAGAATTTCCGGAACTTTCAATATGCTATTTGATTGTGAATCACCAAGAGGGGGTTTCACAGACAGCCACGCCCCACTCACGTGCTCACTGGATTTTTGTTCTCAGGGCACCAGGACTAGAGTTACCTGGACTCCAGCTTTTCTCTTTCTAGGGATAACAAATGTAGTAACCCCTTTACTTGCCATTCCATATCCAGGAATTTAGCCTACATGTAAGCACTACGATTTTTTTTACTGCAGGATCATTTGTAACATTTTAAAAAATTACAAAGGCTCTGGCTGGTGTTGCTCAGTGGCTAGAGCAGGGGTGGGCAAACTTTTTGACTCGAGGGCCACAATGGGTTCTTAAACTGGACCGGAGGAACGGAACAAAAGCATGGATGGAGTGTTTGTGCGAACTAATATAAATTCAAAGTAAACATCATTACATAAAAGGGTACAGTCTTTTTTTTTTTAGTTTTATTCATTTCAAACAGGTCGGTTCCGGCTCGTGGGGCGTAGTTTGCCCACGGCTGGGCTAGAGTGTCATCCTGCAAACCAGAGGGTTCCGGGTTTGATTCCTGGTCAAGGGCACATACCTCAGTTGCAGGTTCAGTCCTGGTCCGGTTGCGGCGCATGTGGGAGTCAAAAAATCAATGTGTGTCCCTCACATCAATGCTTCTCTCTCTCGCGTTCCCTCCCTCCCTTCAGCTCTCTCTAAAAATCAATGGAAAAAATATCCTCGCCTCAGATGAGGATTAACAAAAATAAGAAATTACCATAAATTACAGTTGCATTCATGTTATGCAGCTATTAAAAAGAATGAGATACAACTATATGGACTAGCATGGAGAGATCTCAAAGATATATTAAGACCAGCAGGAAAACAGAATCCCATTTGTTTAAAATAAAAGGTATATAAATATTGATGTGTATTTGCAATGGAAGGGGTTTAGATATAAAGGGTTAACCATGGTTCCCTCTGGGAAGGGACTAAAGGGGGATTTATTCACCTATGTCACTATTTAGAGCTACTTCTGTACTATTTTATCACAACAAGCGTATGATCAAGGGCTGCTTGTGTATTTATATAAAAAGAATCTCAGGATCTATTTCTGGAAGGCTGAGGCGAACCAAAGTAGCCTTATTTTCTCTTAAAATTAAAAGCAACCTCAATCTAAATCACTTTTTTTTTTCTGTTAAAAATTTTTAAATAAATACTGCCATACAAGGGACTTGGAGCCTGTACTCTCTCTAGTCACTTACCTATGAATTGTGGTTAAAAGGAAAAGACTATGTCTTTAGGAAAGCAGAAAACACAAAAAAGAAAAATACACATTTATATGTCCTCTTTTTAAAAAGGAGTAGGAAAAACTAGGATCATAGCTTCTAATCTCCCTAAGGTATATAAAAAGCCTTTTTTCAAATAACTTTTTTTTACATGGCACTTAATCATTTGATAAAATTGTTGACAGAGATCATCTGGAAGACAAATTATATATGTTTCAAATTTGTAAATCAAGAAATAAAGATTTTTTAAAAGAAATAAAGATTATTAAATAATGCAAAGAAAATAAAAATAAAAATGTTTTTTAAAAAGTACATAAACTGCCCAGCCAGCCTGGCTCAGTGCTTGAGTATCGACCTATGATCCAGGAGGTCGGGTTTGATTCCCAGTCAGGGCACAAGCCCAAGCTATAGGCTCGATCCCCAGTAAGGCATGCAGGAGGCAGCCGATCAATGATTCTCATTATTGGTGTTTCTCTCTCCCTCCTTTTTCTAAAATCAATAAAAATATATTTAAAAAGAAAAAAAGTAAATATACTAACACCCCATTTGAAGAAAAATTGAGATTTACCATCCTATCTAATAAAAGAGAAACATGGTAATTGGCGTACGACCACTACCCTTCCCATTGGCTAATCAGCGAGATATGCAAATTAACTGCCAGCCAAGATGGCAGCCGGCAGCCAGGCAGCTTGAAACTAACATGAGGCTTGCTTGCTTCAGTGACGGAGGACTCCAACATTCCCCGCCTAACTTGCCGGCCTCTGACCCAACCCCCTGATGGGCCCTGCTCTGTATGTGACGGGGTAGAGCTATAACCTAAGCCAGCAGGTCATTATCTCCTGAGGGGTTCCAGACTGCGAGAGGGCACAGGCCGGGCTGAGGGTCCCCCTTTCCCCCCCAAGTGCACAAATTTTTGTGCACCGGGCCTCTAGTCCTATCTAATAAAAGAGAAACATGGTAATTGGCGTA